GAGACGAAGGTGGTTCTGGGAGCTCCCATGGCGACGGCGAGGTGGCTATTGAAATTCCAGAAACTGTTCATCAAGTCAGCAATGGTGGGTGATCTTCATTTCTACTTTTTCATTCCATTGGTCCTTCGGTTATGAAATTCTTGTCCTTTCAACAGGGGCTGCCCTGTATGCCGGGAGGCTAAAGGCAGAAAATTAAAAGGGGCCTCATGTTACAAAATGACATGCATACTAATACTAGTAATACTTAAAGGAATTTATAAAAAATTGTAAAACTCTATTATGTTTAAACCAATCGTGTTATAGTATTAATGATCCTTATTTAGGAAGAAAACAATGATCTTTATTAATGAATTAACTCTATTATTTTCCATTCCTAAATTTTCCATTCAATAATGTAATTATCCTGAATCATTTCATTTTCAGTAGCTTAATTATTATTCTTTTACGAGTTCTTATCTTGAAGATGATATTTAGAATTTGACTTCTTTACGCAAACAAACTTTTCTATTGAACTTTCTTTACTTAGCGCCACTTTCTCTATGTATGTGTTTGTGTGTGTATATATATATATATACATACATAGAGAGAGATTATATATACACACACACATACATACATACATATAATTGGTCCGATCCGGAATATTCCGGGTTTTGGACCAGACCGAAACCGGTAAAGCCCTTGGACCGAAGACCGGACCGATATCTATCCAGTCTGGGCCCAATTTGGATCGACCAGTCCAGTTTTCCGGTCTAGTCTCCCATGATTTAAGTGTCATGTCAAGGACTATACTCTAGTATCGTCTATGCTATTGGACCAGTGTTGATCCTACCTAAATTTGAATGTGAGTCGAGCTTCATAAAATGGGCCTTATACATATTATCTAGTATTTGTGTATCACGATTTAGTCATTTAATGAAATGACATTGAATGTATTAAAGAACTAATTCAGTAGAACTCGTCAAACAATTTCAAATGCAAAAGTATTAATCAAGTCTGCATTATCTATGTTTACCAATTGATAACATAGCTAATTCATTCAATCTAATTAAAAAACAAGAATCAAGTAGCATTTAAAAGTTTACACATTAACCCATTATGCATTCACATGTGACAAATAAATTACAGTCCTGCTATTTCTACTCACTCTTATACCCACCAATGTGAATGACTTTTTTGTCTATGAATCCTATTCACACACAAAACATGTCTTATTTTGTTTGTGCAAATCTGCACAGATAAAATAAAATATGTTTAGTCTGTGGACACGATTCACATTGGTGGTGAGTATAAAAGTGAGTATAGAGTGAGTACAAATATCATTTTTCAATCAATTATACATCACATTAACATTTAGCAAATCAATATAAAGTTAGAAAATTTCTGAAAATATAAGGCCGACTATCATTTTTTGGTCGACTTCCTGAAGGTCGACGTCATAGTCTTGGTCGATTACCCCTTCTACTCAGCCCTAATTAGCCAAATCAGTCATATTAACGTGTTAATCTAACGAGTGCACTCAATCAACACTAAAAATCGAGTTTATGTACTTTCTTATGTGAAAATGCAACATATTGTACTCTTTACTCCACTTCATACAAGTTAACGTACTCAATTGAATCTTTCCTCAAAAAATAACTAAATAACTAAAAATAACTAAAAGAGCAAAGATTAGTGAACGACAAATTGACCTAAACAGGAGTAAACAACCTTTGAAATTTCATAATAAGACTACTATATATGTATTTTTCTAGAAATATGAGTTTTTACTGTCATTATTGAAAAATATTACCATAATTAAAAAATGCTTTCATATTAGTTTACAGTATTACAACTATTTTTTAGTTGAGAATAAAAACGTGACAGTTCCATTTTGAGAAATCTCTCTTTAGGCCCAAAGTTTTGGGAAATCTCCCACAAAGTAAAGCCTAAGGAATACTCCCTACAAAATACTCCCTCCGTATCACATATATCTTCCCACTTCCAAAGTGGGTGAGATTAATAATAGTGAAAGGAGATATAAATTATTGAGGGTATGATGTGAATATAGTGAAATAATGTGATGGGATGAAGGATAAATCCAAAAAAGTACATGTAATAGTGTATTATTTTTTAAATTATTGAGGATATACGGGAAGATTTAAAAATGGGAACAAATGGCTACATAAAAAAAGGGTGTTGCTAGGTGCACCCTGAAAATTACTTAATGCAACCTCAATTTGACTACTTTATCCTTTTAAACATTTTAATTAGAAATTTTGATCCCCGCATGGTAATCCAATTGCCTTTAAAGAATCAAAGGTTGTGCTATGATTTTGCGTGTGGCGCATCCCAAAATTGTGTTTGATTATATATATATATATATATATATATAAAATATTGAACAAATATTTTATTTAAATTTGGTTCAATAAATCTCTGGTGGAAATGTATTTTACTATCATCTAAAACACGTCTCATCTGACCTGATCTGTTTAAGTGTGATAGAACCTAATCTGCTCTGTTTAAGTTTGGTAAGATATGAGAGTAAGATTGATCAAATTAAAAATATCATAAAATTATCCAATTATAAAATAAGTAAAAATAAAAATAAAATTATAATTTTATTACGGATAATTTTATGATATTTTTAATTAAAAATAAGTAAGATTTAATTCACTTTTTCTAGTTCAGACAATTGAAGATATAGTCGAAGACAATTTATCAAATTTGATATGAGATAATCTTAGTAAACGGATCAAAAGAAAAGATTAGATAATTTTAGTGGGACATGGAAGTGCTTGTTTAATATTTTCTTCGTTCTTTGATTGCAACGTTTTCATCTTTACAAATGTCAACACAGAACTTTGATCAATAATATTTTTCATTTCATATAAGTAAACAAAATTTTAAAAAAAATAATATTTATAATGAGAAGAATTTAAATTGTTTCTCAAAAACTTCATTTTTAATTGATTAATAAATAAAATATAGTCAATGTAGAATGATATGGTAGTGTAACTATTTTAGCGATACAATATGGCTAGATCTCGAAACTAAAGCTGTTTAGTACGGTCATATTTCTAAACGGGCGGTACCATGTACCAATATCAATCATGTCACTTTTTAAATTGTCCCGACCTAACAAAAAAATTAGCATGAAACATACTCCCTCCATCCCCGAAAGAAGTTCCCACTTTCCATATTTGGATGCCCCTAATTTAAGTTCTCATTTCCTTAAATGGAAAGTTATCTACATCAAAACAGTGTCAAACAGTGCAAAATAGTGTCAAACAGTGCCAAACAGTGTCGAAACAGTGTCAAAACAGTAAAATTTATCCTCTGGTAAGTTTACTTGCATAAAAGTTTGAAAGTCAAATGGAGAACTTCTTTCGGGGACGAAGGGAGTATTAAAAATATGTATTCAAAGTCATGCATTAAGGTTTTGCCATAATCTAAAATATGCATGTTAGATAAATAAATACTCCTTCTGTCTCGAAAACAACTTCCCACTTTCCTTAAATGGATGTCCCAAAATTAACTTCACACTTCAATATTTTCCTTATTTGGCAAATTATCTACATCAAAAAAGTGATTGTTGGGATATATTATCCCGGCCTATTACTGTTCAGGAGCCCAAGACATTATCCAGTACGGAGCCCGAGCAGCTAGGTCCATTTCGGCCCATTCTGGCCCACTTTGGCCATTAGGCCCGACATCGGCCCGTTTGGCCCATTAGGGTGGAGTACTTCCCTCACCCCTTTCCCTATTTATAGGAGGTCTTCCCTCCATATTATGGATCTTGGCCTTCTTCCTTTAGCTCTCTAGATTAGATAATACTCCATTAATGTGAGCTCAAATTGTACTATGTAATGGTGAGGAGAGTCCTAATGAGAAAGAGAGGGCTTAGACATTAGCCTAAAAAGTCCCGTGGTTTTCTCCCTTTCGGGTTTCCACGTAAAAACTGAGTGTTCATACATATATTTTCTATATCGTGTTGGATTAAACTCAACAGTGATAAACATTGCCAAACAGTGTTTAAACAGTGCCAAACAGTGTTTAAACAGTGCAAAACAGTGCATTCTACAGTAAAGTCAAATTTATTTCCTAAAAGTGTGTGAAAGTCCAACCGGGAAGTTGTTTTCGGGACGGAGGGAGTATATATTAATCTAAAATATGCCATAATCTGATTTATTGAAGAAGTGTGTTTAAAATTAGAATAGAGATGATGGTTGTAACAAAAAGTCTTAATTTAATAGAAGTGCAGTCATTAAAAAAGTCACACTAAATTACGTAGAAGGCCCCACAATATCTTTTTGAGAATTTACCCAAAATAGGACTAAAAAAGTTTGGAAATTCCAAAATAGGACTGACATGTTTTTATTTCCAAAATAGGACTAATTACTGTCATGTTTTGGCAGTACCAGACTTCAAACATGGCTGTATTTTCCAAACTTGGCAGTAATTACTTCTATTTTGGGAATAAAAAACATGACAGTCCTATTTTGGAATTTTCAAACTGTTTTAGTCCTATTTCGGGAACTTTCCCTATCTTTTTTATGAAAGCAAGATAGTAGATACCCCATTTTTTATTAAAAATTAAGAGCCCGTTTGGAGAACTCTGTTTTCGGCTTATCAGGCTTATCAGCCAGCTTTTTCACCAAACACGTAACTTTTACTTTCGCGCGCTGAATTGTGTAATAAGCCGAAAAAGTAAGGTTGGAGTTACTTTTCTGGCTGTATTGGCTGAAGTTACTGTAGAGGACCATTTTAGCTATTTTTACATATAATTTTTTCTTTAATTTATTAATAAAATATATTTTTAAAATATTTTTTTCTTAAATCAGCAGAATCAGCCAAAACAGCCACTCCAGCCAGAATATCATAAATTTCAGCAGAATCAGCCAAAACAGCCGATTTTGGTGCTACCAAACGAGCTCTAAACATTTGCAATAGTACGGAGTAGGACAAAGTTGTCCAGGATTGGAGAAAGATGGTGTGCCCAGCAATATCGAGGGTGCGCGGAGAACGTCCGAAAAAAAAACTGGGAGTAAAAACAAATTGAACGGAGAGGGAGAAGCCCGGAGCCCGGAGGCAGGGGCCGGAAAAACACTTCTGGTTCAGACAATCATTCGTGAGCTGTGAGCAGATAATCCAGACAAATAGCAGGACGCCTCAGCTACCTCTTCGACAGCTCTCCTTGTCTCCTTCGCAAGCTCGCAGAATCGCATACGGGGCTGGTTTGTTCTTCGCAAAACAAAATTGGGCCTCTCTAGCCTTGCATAAGGCACGGGCCTGCGCTCGGCGCTATGTGGCCTTGCCACTCATGGCCTGTAGGGCCACTAATGGGGCGCCTACCTCATCGTGTCCAGAACGACGCGCCTAATGAAAGGCGGAGTCCTCAGGTTTTCCGGGTGACTTCCGGCAGCCCACTAGGTGTTCCTGCCATGGACAGTTACGTCCAAAAAAACCCGGATGACGAGCCAGGCCGAGGGTTATTGTTACCGTTAGGCCGGTAGTCATGATAGATGATGCTAGGCATGAATATGAAGCCGTTCACGAGCAACTGTAGTCTGTAGAGGAAGAAATCATAATCATGTATGTGTTCAGGACACATTAGAAAGAAGTCCTACGGGTCGACGGATCGTATGATGCACGAGCATCCAGGTCGTATGTCCTTTCAATTTTTACACCATGCCTTGAAGCTTATGATGAATGGTGATAATTGATCTGACAAACTTTTCACAGTATCTGATAGTTACATCTGTTCAAGTTTTCCTTGTTTACCCTGAAGGCTTAATGATCTGTTTGTTTCGGAAATTTGTGTTTACTAATATTCTTTCACCAGTTTAGGAGATCTGGACAGGGCACCACTCTATATGAGTATCCTATAAACAGTAATCATAGGATACAAGTCTCGGGAAGTGTCTAGTCTGTTTGCAAATTTTTTCTTTGTCAATTCTTTCAGTAATTTATATTTTATTCTCACAAAGCGTATATGATCACCTCAGCTTGTGATGAAGATAGCTGTGAATTGTTAAATTATGCTCATCTAGAATTGTCCGAGTTTTAAGTTTAAATTGATAATACAACTAAGCTGTTATTGTATATTGTTTAGACTTGTTAGGTTGATTTATTATTTAAAATCTGATCACAGTTATTTTAATTTTTCTTCTCCAAGAAAAAGCCTACCAGATGATATTAGCATATTGATTTTGCCTATGAACGGCATAAATATCAAACATTTTAACTTTTTTTCCCATGCGTTAGTGCAAACTTTTATTACTTGATTCAAATTCTGTTTACTTATTTCTCTTCTTTTGTGGGTTTTTGCCAAAATATCAGATTCATGGTTTCAAGTTGGAGTTGTTCTAAGTACCGGAATCAACAGTGCGTATGCTCTAGGGTATGCTGGAGCTATTATGGTCCCACTAGGTTGGGTAGGCGGTGTGGTTGGGTTGATCCTATCCACCGCTATATCATTATATGCTAGTACGCTTATAGCTAAGCTTCATGAACATGGAGGAAAGAGGCATATCAGATATAGAGACCTTGCAGGCTTTATATATGGTATGTCGTAACATGAAAATAATAACCCCATTTGGCGTGATTGATCAGATTATTATGCTTATCAGCACAACAAACAGAATAATCAGAACAAGTGGCTAGCCTTTAACTTTTTTCGGTTGGTGAAATGAGATCCTGATTGTTGCAGGTCCAACTGCTTATTCACTTATTTGGGCAATGCAGTATGCAAATCTGTTCATGGTTAACACTGGGTATCTTATTCTTGGTGGCCATGCCTTAAAGGTAAGATATACTCCCCCCCACCAAAAAAAAAGAATAATTATCAACTTAGAAACATGCAAATAACATTAGAAATGGTAAGGCTAAGGAAGATGTCCATCGAAACTCAAAATCATTCTTCAAGAGAATGACTGAGGCTAGATCAACCCCCTCCCCACAAATAAATAAGTACATACTTGAAATAGATGGAACACAGAGGATGAGAGGAAGAATAACTTGAGTGAAAAGCATGATAATATGATAAAGATAAAGGAAATGAAGTGCATCGTCTAAATCCTTGTTTAATCTCACTTTCAACTATCACATGATACACCCACATTTGAAATTAAAATTTGTGGGCAATTTGAACTTGACACCATGGGTGAATTCCCTTCATCTAAAAAGTGGTTTTATCTAAACTCTGAGTCATTCAAATACTGACCCAGCCACTGAGCCACCAAATCAATCCAACCAAGATGAATAGGTTTTTCATTGTCTACTTGACTACTTCCATGGCAACTTTTTTGGCGCATAATTCTAAGCATCTGTTTGGTTGGCAAAAGTAAATTTGGTAAGCTGCAAAAGCTGAAGTTTTTGTCAGCAAAATAAGAAAATGAAAAGCCTTATGATCTATTATATAGGCTTTATCAGAATAAATCCAGGAACTGTATCTTAAGTGGGCCTTCAAAATATGGATGTCCAAGCCTTTTGATTTATCTAAGTAGATGATTAGTAGATGACCTCCCTTGAGTTTTGTTTTGATTCCCTTCACTTTTGTTAAATTATGATTTCCAGGCCTTTTATGTTCTCTTTAGAGACGACCATGTGATGAAGCTTCCTTATTTCATTGTAATAGCTGGAGTGGCATGTCTCCTCTTCGCTATTGCTATACCTCATTTATCAGCACTTAGGATCTGGCTTGGGGTTTCAGCTTTTCTTAGTTCGGTCTACCTTCTTGCCACATTTGTCTCGTCTATCAAAGATGGTATGGACACCATTTTCCCTTGAAAACTTTCAAAACCATCAATTTTAGGCATGTATGTTTTTAGAATGCTCTCTACCTTTCTGTGTACTGGATTGCCATATGGTATGGATGAGTGAATACAGGAGTTGTTTGTAAATTTTATGTTTACTACTGTAGGAATAAAATCAATTTCAAAAAATAATATTTATACCAAACATTGTTCATGGAAGTTCATATCTTTAGTTTCCCTTTATTTTTTTAATCTTGGATCTAGTATTATAGCAATTGCTTCTGCATTTTTTAAGATTTTGCAATCTTTTCTTTGATCTTATAGGTGTAAATGCTCCTGATAGAGACTATAACATCCCGGGAACAAAAATAGGCAAAATATTTACAACTATTGGTGCAGTTGGCAACCTAGTGTTTGCTTTTAATACAGGAATGATTCCAGAGATACAAGTAAGCATTCATGCACGTCTTTTATTTAGATTATATATGTTTAATACTCCGTATACAAAATCAGGGAAATAAACAAAGCAGGTTCTTTTGCACACCATGCAAAGAATTTTGGAAACTTTTGCCTTCACGAAAATGTTTTAAACTCCCAATTCCACAGCAACCAAGGGCTGTAAGGATTTTCACTTGCTTAGTACTTGAGGCTTTGTTTGGGTTAAGGGGACAAATGAATAAGTGGGAAAGAAAGCAGATAGAGTTTGACAGAAATAAAAAGTGGAAGAAAGAAATGTGTGTGGAAAAGAGTTAATTTTATGTAAAGTTTTCTCCCCTATTACTTCACACTATAGAAGAGCTATCAAAAGCCAAAAGGTAGGTGGACCCGTTTTATTATTTCTTTGTTCCTTATATCTCCCATTTGCAATGGAGCCAAAGATTCATTATTTTTTGGCTTGAGAATATGATGGAATAAAGCAAAATGGCTCACTAAACTGTCTGCGCTTCTTTTTTATGAAGCAGCAGTCAGACCATGCAATTTTGGACGCGATTTTCACTATGGGTCATCCGGAAACAGTCTCTCTGTGCTTTAGTAAGGGGTAAGACTGCGTACATCCGACCCCTCCTACCTCACTGTAGGTGGGAGCCTTTGTGACACTGGGGTAAATATAAATGATGATAAATGAAAATGATGTTCCTTATATCTTCCAAAACCGAAATATCTTTTCTCCCTCTCCTCTCTTCTTTTTTATGTATTCTGCTTTTCTTTCTTTCCCGTTTCTCTTCAAGCATTTCAGTCAATAGTTTATCGTAAGTATCATCATCATTATAGTTGTTATATTATAATTATTATAATTATAATTACTACTATTATTACTAACTTTTGCCGATATGACAGGCTACTGTTAAAGAACCTGCGGTGAAGAACATGATCAAAGCACTTTACTTTCAGTTCACAGTAGGAGTGATGCCAATGCTTGCTGTTACATTCATGGGGTATTGGGCTTATGGGTCCAGCTCATCAGCCTATTTGCTCAATAACGTCCACGGCCCTGTTTGGTTAATGGCATTTGCTAACATGTGTGCTTTCTTGCAAGCTATCATCTCTATGCATGTAAGTGTGACCATGTCTACTTCGTTATTTTGCAGTTTTGTTGCTCTACCGTTTATAGATATATCTCTATGTTCTTACATAAATGCCTGTTTGATAGAAGAATTTTATGTTTATCAGCCAAATTCCATACCAACATCTAAATTAGGGCCTGTTTGGAAAGAGTTTTTGATTTGAAATGACTGAATTTGCTAAAGGAAATGTGTGCTGATATCCTTTTTAACAAAATAAGCAAGTCAAAGACTACTGAGGATACCAAACGAATCATGATGGCTGCTGAATTGGCTGTAATATAAAGCAGTGTTGCACTGATCACTGCTTTGGCTGGAAGAAAAAATGACACTTTTATCCTTATTTTTAGATTCTTCTTATGCTATTATTATTTACTTTATATTTCTTTTCGGGAAGTATTTTATTATTATTTACTTTATATTATTTACTTCAATATGCCAGGTTTTATTTAACTGAACAAGTACTCTCTTACCTTTTCATCTTCTTTTTCAAAATTTTCCTACTAATATTACTTTTTTATCTTATCTCCACTACTATCCACAACTGTACAATGTAAAAGGCAGAGGAGCATGATTTCCTTTATTTATTATATATATACATATAACATATGCATCCTAATATGTTTTTGCATAATCAAGCCCACCGAACTCTGCACTAGATAATAGAAATAAATCATGCCTCCATTTTTTGTGTTTCAATGATTGGAATGAAGAAAAATGACACTTTGACCCTTATTTTCTTGGTGAAATTGACACCAATAATCCATACTTTTACACATTTTACAAAATTAATCCATACTTGAAAAGTTCACAACAATAATCTCAACTAGTTAACTGTTTTACAAAATAAACTGAGTGCTAACGATCTTAAGTTTTCCGTTATTTTTTATTTTAAATATATTAAAGGGAATATATATTTCCATCGTTTGCAATGGAGCCAAAGACTCAGTATTTTTTGGCTTGTGAATATGATGGAATAAAGCAAAATGGCTTACTAAATTGTCCGTGCTTCTTTGTTATGAAGCAGCAGTCAGTCTATGCAATTTTTGACGCGATTTTCACTATGGGTCATCCGGAAACAGTCTCTGTACTTTAGTACAGGGCTAAGACTGCGTACATCCGATCCCCCCTCCCTTACCCCACCGTAGGTGGGGGAGCCTTTGCGGCACTGGGGTAATGATGATGATGAATGATGATGATATTAAAGGGAATATATATATATATATATATATATATATATATATATATATATATATATATATATATATATAAACAGTGACAATATTATATTTGAGTTTGATCTTGTGTTTTCCATTTTTTTTATTTAATATTCAATTTTCTTTCATAAAACATAATAGAAATATTTGAATACTACATAGTACATACTCTTAAAATTCGTAATTCTCTTTTATTCCTTATCAATACTTTTTACATTCATTTTTGTTATTCAATATACTCCGTAATAAATATATCAAAGTAGTTTTAGTAATACTACATTACATATTAATACAAATTATGTAGAATATTAAATATTTAATACGTATATTTCTATTATATTTTATGAAAAATATTAAATATTATATTAAATTTATCGTAGAAAAAGATTAAACTCAAATATAATATTCTTATTTTTTGCATATTTTTTCCTTTGATATATATAAAAAAACGTAAATTTTAACACTGTTAGCACTCGTATTATTTTTGTGAAGCAATTAACTAGTAGGGATTACTTTTCTGAAATTTATCAATAGGGATTATTTTTGTAAAATGTATAAAATTATGGATTATTAGTGTCAATTTCGCCGGTTTAAAAAAAGTGTCAATTTCGCCTATTTTCTTTTAGGCTTTCAAAAGTATACTTAATAAATTTAAAATAAATGGGAAAAAGGGTCAAATAAGCCCCCCTACAATTGCAAAACCATCACTTAGACCCTTGTACTTTAAAAGGGGTCATATAAACCCATTTACTCTTAAAAAAGAATCAATTGAGCCCAAATAATCTGAAGTTTACCTCTAATAGCAGGTCACTTTTTCTTTCCCTATTTATTTATTTATTGCCTTTTTTAATAGTGCATTCCAGCCTTTTTCGTCGTCCAAAAAAAGTGTACACCGATGGGATTCGATCCTTTAACCTCAGGCGAAACAGCAACAACGGAAACCAACTGGACTACTTCCTTGATGTTAGAAATCATCACTCAAAGTATATATATACTCTATAGCTTCACAATATTATTATTCAACATCACTAAATTTTATTTATGTTGTTATATTATACGTAGTACTACAAATTAAAATTTATTTGTATTTATGTTGTTATATTATACGTAGTACTACAAATTAAAATTTATTTTTATTTATGTTGTTATATTATACGTAGTACTACAAATTAAAATTTATTTTTATTGATGTTTTTATATTATACTAATTAAATACAGATATTATTATTATTTTTAATTTTAATATGCAAATATTATTTTCACATATTGTGTATCTAATTCTAAACAGATTTTAATTTTTTTTGAACAACTACATGTTTTAGCTCTTTTTATTATTAGTTATTCTTATAAGAATTATAATTTTTGAATGGGAGTAAATTTTGACCATATAAAGTTAATCTTTTTTTTTTTTTTTTTTTTTTTTTAAGGAAAAGGATAAATAATATTATAGCTCAACATTTCAGCTATCAGTGAGAGAAACACTACAACACATACTAAAATGTCAATGTTTTGGTACGCAGAAAACTAAAACAAATAATGGAACCCGAAAAAGAGTCCTTCAAGGGTAAACAGTACTTCAGAAGTCCTTCAAAGGTCTTGCACGCTCAAACCTGGAGGGAGGGATTGCTTCAACTTTTCAGCTTTCTCTGAATCAAACACACACAGGGTGTAAAGATACTTGGAACAGCGAACCTTGAATTTGACTACATCCTTTCCTCTCTTGATCTTCACTGATCTGGCATCTTTCCTTCTAGCAGTAAGAAGGAAATCTTTGATCTCGTGAATTTGCTTCGGCATTTTCTCCCTTCTTCCAAACCCTGCTGCTCATGACCGATTTTCAAGACGGATTGATTCATGATCCAATAAATATTGCCCCGGCAAATAGATGAGTCATGGATCAATCTGTACCAGTGATGATATAATTATTGAGTTACGGGTCAATCCATTAAACGCTGAAAAACCTGGTCAATATTTTTTAGTGAAAGAAAACATAAAATATAGTTCATAATATATTAGATTAAAGGAAAAATAGCGTTAAATAGGAGTGAATCAATCTGTAAATGCATAAATAGGAACAAATTGTTTATCCTCCCAAAATAGGACTAAAATATACTCTATATTAATATTATACACTTACTACAACTTAATAGGAAAGTCATATTTTAATTTCTAATAAAAAAGCCCTCATCGATTTTAATGTGTTTTATATATTTATTTATTTTTATAGTTTAAATTGTATTTTAATATTATATTTATAAAAAATTCATATGTTAAATAAAAATATTATATATCCAAAAAAAATTTAAACTTTAAGAATAAATAATAATAAAAAGAGCTAAAACATGTAGTTTTTCAATTCGGTTTATGATGCTTGACCGACGATAAAGCAAACAAATCTCTGTTCGCACTCAAATTATTTCTAGAAAAAACAAAGTACTAATTCAAAAATTACACTAAAAGCTTTACAAAGTCGTAAAAATCAAAATCAAATTTGATATATAAAGTAAGACATTAACAGTGATTTGTGTTGACCAAGTGGATAGTGTTTGGGACAATCTTAGCGGGATGGAGGGAGTATAATATAACAACATCAATAAAAATAAATTTTAATTTGTAGTACTACGGATAATATAACATCATAAATAAAATTTAGTGATGTTGAATAATAATATTGTGAAGCTATAGAGTATATATATACTTCGAGTGACGTCTTTACACATCAAGGAAGTAGTCCAGTTGGTTTCCGTCCTTGCTGCTTTGCCTGAGGTTAAGGGTTCGAATCCCATTGGTGTACACTTTTTTTGGACGACGAAAAAGGCTGGAATGCACTATTAAAAAAGGCAATAAATAAATGGAAAAATTGAAAATAATAATCCCAACTATTGCCGGTCCGCTGAAAATAATCCCAACTATTGATTATTTTTGTATAATCCCAACTATATAGACTATCCGCCAATAATGGTCCATGACCATATATTACCTCTATAAAAAATGAATTTTAAATAGAAATTAAGCGTAAAAATTAAAAGTTGAGATTATTTAGAGGGATTACTTGTTATATCTCACCCCATCCACTTTAGAAACTACAAGAATTTATTCATAGGGACCATTATTGGCGAAAGGTCCCTAAAGTTGGGATTATTCTGTAATAATCAATAGTTGGGATTATTATGAGCGGACCGCCAATAGTTGGGATTATTAGTATCAATTTTTCCTAAATAAATACGTAGTAAATAGGGAAAGAAAAAGTGACCTGCTATTAGAGGTAAACTTCAGGTCATTTGGGCTCAATTGATTCTTTTTTAAGAGTAAATGGGTTTATATGACCCTTTTTAAAGTACAAAGGTCTAAGTGATGGTTCTGCAATTGTAGGAGGGCTTATTTGACCCTTTTTCCAAATAAATGTCATATTTTGCAAACAGGATCTCACACATGGTAACTCATCACTGCTTTACATTCATCCACTATAGATATTTGCAAGCCCGACGTACGAATATTTGGACACAAAGTATGGGATAAAAGGAAGCGTGTTCATGCCGCGCAACCTGGGATTCAGAACTTTGGTCAGAGGCGGCTATTTAGTCCTCACCACATTCCTTGCATCTCTACTGCCTTTCCTCGGGGACTTCATGAGCCTTACCGGGGCCATCAGTGTGTGCCCCATCACATTCATTCTCGCAAACCACATGTACATGGTTGCTAAAAGAAGCCGGCTATCTTCCTTGGAGAAGAGCTGGCATTGGTTGAATGTTGTCTTCTTTGGTTGCTTATCTGCTGCTGCTTTTGTTGCTGCCATAAGGTTGATTGTAGTCGACTCTAATACGTACCATGTTTTCGCTGATTTATAGTTTTTCTTTCACAAGAGCTGGCATTGGTTGAATGTTGTCTTCTGTGGTTGCTTATCTGCTGCTGCTTTTGTTGCTGCTATAAGGTTGATTGTAGTCGACTCTAATACGTACCATGTTTTCGCTGATTTATAGTTTTTCTTTCCTTTTAACATTTTCTTTTGGAGTTATCTTTTAACCTCGAGACAAATGTATTATAATCTGTATAGACAGAATAATTTGCTTGACAAAAAAATCAGTCAGATGGTGATGCTTTCTAGCAGAATTTGTGATACTTTCTTCAATGGACACTCTTAAAGCATTGCAAATGTTGTTAAAACTTAAAAGTGTTTGGACAAATGATTTTGCAGGAGGGACCAGCTACTTAAGGGTGGGTTTGGTTAGGTTTTCGGAGGAATGATAAATAGAGGATTACTATTTACTTTGCAATAATTTATCTTTACTTAGACGAAAAATAACAATATTTCTGCAGATCTTCTACCTTCGTTTTTCAAGAATGATTAGCATAAGTTTCTGAAGTAAAAAAAAAAAAAACAATGCACACAATCACATGTGAAGATTCGTGTTCAACTGAGGGAACATAAACCTGCAACAATATTACGGAGTACGAGTTTTCCTTATATCTATAGAGTGAAGTACACGATGCGATAAGTTCAAGGCTTCACCCACCCTAAGCTCTAGGCCTCTAGTTTGCTGGGAGGATTTTGGAGAAGAGAAAACAAGAGTAGGAACAATTTTATAGATAACACTGATCTGCAGAAATATTGTCAAATAGTTTCATTTTAATCACTTATTTAGGATATCAATTCTTAATTATATTTAATTTGGATTTTTCTATTTTATGGAGATTTTACTATAGTTTCTGAATATGTAAATTCTAAGAGAAAAATAATTAAAATATTCCAAACTTTGAAGGGGTGGGAGATAAACACCTCAAACGTTCGTATGTAATTTAAATACCCTAAACATTATATAAAAAAAATTATTTTAGCACCATGGTCATATATTATTCTTTCAAAAACGTAAATTATGGTGTTAATTGCATATATTAAAATAGCAAATTAAAAACGCTGCAATCATATAGAGTGAGGGTAGTATTATTTATTTTACAATGGAAGTTTAGAATGTTAATGTATCTTCATGAATGTTAAAATATTTTAAATTATGAAATTAACATAGAAAATTAACTGTTTTGAAAGAAATAATGCATGACCATGGTGCTAAAATAATTTTTTATATAAAGATTATGGTATTTAAATTACATATACAAGTTTGGAGTGCTTACCTCACACTCCTTCAAAGTTTGAGGTATTTTAATAATTTTTCCCAAATTTTAATTGTTAAAATTAACTACGGAGTATTTATCAATAGAGAGGATTTAACTTGAACATTTTTTTGAGGGATTTAACTTGAACATTGATTGACAAAAAAATGTTGACTTTGCAAAATAAATTGAGACAGAGGTAGTAGGACAAAATATTACCCTTTTCCCTTAATATAATTAATTGCCACTAATTCTCTTAGCACAACCAGGGCAATTTGGTGATGGCAACAACCTGATGGGGGTGATCGGTGGCGGCCGTCTGGTGGTAGTGGTAGTTTGGCGGCTTGCTGTCGACTTCGACAGGCCAGTGGCTAGCCCCAACCCATGTAGGGCTAGGTGTATTTTTGGTCCAATCATAATAAGAAACTCATATCTAGGAAATTTTAAATATCAATTCCTATATTTTTCATTTTATGATGTTTTACTTCTATTTTGGAATTTATCTCTATCCTTTATCTCTTATTAATATGCAATGTGAAGGTTATGGGCTTACTAGTAAAACAAAAAAAGTTCTTGTGTATAGGTCCTTTTACACGCCAGTTTACGTGTCTAGATAGGCAGTTTCAATTGTTCTTTTTTTTTTGTCTTTTTAAAATTAATTTTTTGTGTAAACAAATGAAATAGAGAAAATTATCCTAGGTATAACTAAAACTCATCCACTTTTTCAATCTATGACCTCATTAGTTTATTTCCCAAAACAATATTTAAATTTCGTAATATTGTAAAACTCTAACTTTGTACACATTTTCTAAAAAACTAGCCATTAGCCCGTCGTTGCGGCCCACGCCGCCGCAGCACCTGTAGCTGCCACCTCCCATGTCACGGCACCGCGGCAGTCCTATGCATACACGCCTAATCACCGCCACCACGATCTCCATGTCTGCTTGTCGCTATCGTCCCATGTCGTGGCACTGCGGCCATGCCTACCGCCTACCTGCAGTCGTCACTACCGTCTTCAAGTCTGCTTGCTGCGGGCGTCCCCATGCCGCGGCATCGCCTCCGTCTCCATGCCCGCATGCTTAGATTTTACAATGTGCTCAAAAGGAAGCGACAAGACTTGAGATATTTTTCAAAAAATCTAAAAATCATTGTGATGTTTTTAAGTCTTGAACTACGTTTAAAAAGACTTGTTCAAGCAGTCAGTCATTTAGTCCTGTCATAGACATTGTATTTGAGTTTTGTTTTTTTGCTTTTCAGTCATACGAATGTCATATTTAGTCATAGTCATAGTTAGTCATAATTAAGGCAACTCAATATGTTTTAGTCATGTCTCAGAAAAGTTCCCAATAAAATATTGAGCATTTATAAAAACATACTTCCTCCATGTCTGATTGCCACTATCGTCCCCATGTCGCGGCACCGCGACCATTCCCATGCCTACCGCCTACCCGCAGTCGTCACCGCCGTCTTCAGGTCTGCTTGCCACGACCGTCTCCATGCCCGCGTGCTTGGATTTTACAATATGCTCAATAGGAAGCGTCAAGACTTGAGATATTTTTTGAAAAATCTAAAAATCATTGTGATGTTTTATCTTCATTCAATTATATCATGCCCCACTACTTTTCCAAATTCATGGTCGCGCCTTCCCTTAGGTCAGTGAGGCTCAAGATAGGCCAGTGTGTAGGTGCTCATGACACCTATGTGTGTGGCCTGCAATGTCATGACTGAATGATCAATCGATCCTGGATCCACCGATACCTGCATTGGCGTTGTAATCGTAGTATATGTATTGGTTATTTTAATTTTTTTGCAATAAAATTTATTTGTTTTTAATATTGCTAATGTGTTATTCAATAAAAGAACAACATTACCAAGTGGAACTCCCTACATGCCTCTGTGATCTTCTAGCACATGTGACCCTATTATGTCATGTTTGCTTACATAAACCGCATCTCACACTACCTCTAGGACCTTAATCCATTTAATTTCTCAATCGTGTATCCTTCGGATGACCTTTAACGCGAATCATTGACGAGTCATGCACAACTCGTGGTCTAATGTAAGTAGGTCGATAAGCTATATCCGATATGAGTTTAAATTCTCTTTTATAAGAAGCCGCATACTCGGATGATGAGAAAAAAATATGAACAAAAGCATCGTAGAACACACTACGTTGTGTGCATACCCCTAAGATATGTGAGCAAAGAATCTTATAAATATTCACCTTCTGACATGTGCAATGGCGACGATGCAAATTCACCATTTGTTTTGTACCACCCTTCCCACAGTTCGTCCACCACAACCCGTCTTCACTTGGTATAAATCACGACCTATGTCAAATATTGTGACCTTGTGATGCTTTGCCTTTTCCGTATTTTTCTCAATCAGTTCAGTCAATTGCTAGTAATAGTGATGTCCTTCTGCTAACCTTCTCTTACTAGTTTCTGTTCTTTCTAAGAAAATAGGCATTCATACGATAGAATGACAACTTAACTAAGGCGGTTATAGCTAGGTAGGTATTGTGCACTTTTCATGACGTTATTGAAAACTTCAGCCATGTTCGTTGTTATGGTGCCATACATGTGCCCCCGTCGTGGTGTAAAGACCACTTCTCCAAACTAATGTTCCCTAGATATTCTCGTGCTTGTGCTTGCATTTCGCCTATCTTGTTAAATTCACCATCAAAGTTCTTCTTTTGATGTTGACTTGTTGTCCAAACGAACAGATTCTTCAAGTGAGTGTCTTTAAATTGAGTATGCAGATTAGAAGAGACATGTCGTATGCAAAGCCTATGTCGTGCATCTGGCTCTTCTCATCCACTACCTACCTCATTAAGTGCCTTCACAATGTCAGCATGTCAATATGAAATAACACACAATTCCTTGCACGCCATAAACCACAACCAACTCTCTCCATTACCACGCCAAGAACCATAACCATTACACCGTTTTTTGGGTATGTAAAAATGGTATGGTTTCTCAGATATATGATCATCACAGAAAATATAAATTATTTAGTTCATTTAGTCATTCACAAATCAATAATTCATCAAATTAGCAAATCATACTAAAAGCTAGATTTTTTGGAAATAATAACATACCGGCAAATTTGGGAGTTCGGGTTTGTACGTCACTACTTGGTTGATAACTTTATTGTTCTGCCTGTTTTGTTATTTCTGTAACGAACGATTTAAGCTAAACAACCAATGTAACTCCTGTTTTTTATTACATATACTATTAAGAAAAGTATATGTAAGATGGTGGCACGATTATTAAGAAAAGTGGGTTTGTGTGGACTGTGGTTGATATCAATTGATAAAGTAAGAATAAAGTAAGAATGATTTAGAGCCACACAAACTTTACCAAATATGGTATGAGACAATTTTAGTGGGATATCCCGAAAAGGTAAAACAGAACAATATAAAGTGGACGGAGGGAGTATAATATAGCTGTATTAAAATTCTTGGACCCCTAAATTTTTAATTTTTTGGGAGCCCTGAGGCTCGAGCATGAATTTGGAAAAGTAGTGGGACATGATATAATTGGATGAAGATAAATACTCATATAAGAGTATTGACGTATTTTCATTGATAAAACATTCATTAATGGGTAAATGTAGTAAACTTTTGAATATATCTCACGGTGGAAACAATAGTACACAAAAAAGAGTTATTGCCCTAAACAGCGTTGGGTGTGTTTCGAAAAAATAAGAAAATTAATTAATAAAAAATTAATTAAGTAAAATCACAAAACGAAAATGGAAAATAGATGAAGCAGAAAAAGCCAAAGTCCGTGCTACGCACGATTTCCTTAACACGTATTAGTTGCCTCCCGGGGTGCTAGGAGCGTTTCAACGACTGTTTCCCAGGATACGATGACCACGAGCTATTCGTTGAGCACTCAACCGAATAGTTCCAACGAACGAGAACAATAGTATGAACACTAAGGAATGTTTTCAGAAGCTAGAGGTGTTTTTCAGAGGTGCAAGTCGCGCTTTTTGTTCTCCGGTTTCGGGATTTGATTCGCACCCCCTGTGCGTGTGGAGAGAGCCTTTACCCTAAGGAATCTTAACTCCTTAAGGGGGGTTTCTTTATAAAGGGTTCAAATTCCCGTGGGTTTTTCGGTGTGGGAAAAAACCACACTAGAAACCCACCTTTTTTCCTAGTTTTCTCCATTTCAACGAGTGAACTTCGAGAATCAATATCTCATTCACCAGTTATCCGTTTTGAGCGTACCATATATCGAATTGTAGCCCTAAGCAAGGACAATCCGAAACCACTTTGACCCTAACCAAATCGGAAGTGGAACCCACTAAAAAACAATTGCCCCAAAATGACCATTTAATGCAATTTTAACACATTTTCCCAACAAACAAGACTAAATTATTGCCTAAATTCCTAAATGGGAGTATGTATATTTTTATTCCTTAAATAGGACTATTGTTACAATTTTACCCCTTTGTTTTAATCATGCGGCCCTAGGCTTCCTGTTCTTCCCCTGGCACAATAAACTATCCGCACCAGGCTTCTCCATTCTTCATGTTCAACATTGAGATGGACGCTGATGGAGATATCTGGTGAGAGCAACAGACAACGGTGACGAGCGGTGAAGAAGTGATGGTGAGCGACGGTGTCCAGCAACGATTTCAGATCTGGTGTTGAAATTGAGACTCGTTCTTCACTGTCTCTTCCTTCTTCGTTAATTCCTCCGTTCTTTTTTGTTTATCTCTTTCTCCCTCATTTGAGATCCCGAAAAATTGAGATGCTCATCTCCATTGGCCCATATGCGTTTATTGATGACAACTTCTTCTTCATTTGCTTTGATTGGGAAAAAAATTAAAGTTTGTTTTTAAAATGCCATAAAAATGGCATTTTTAATCTTCCAAAATGCCATTTTTTCGGCAAATTATACCGTGGTACCGGCATACCTGAGCATGGTATGCCTGTACCACATACGACACCGTTTTTCTTTCTAATGGGAGCACTACATATGTTTTTTTGTTCTTTTCCCAAATTCCCTTAAGTCCATCCACTTTCTTTTCCCTCAAGTCATCCAATGCTCTAGGTATGCTATTTCTTTCTCTTTACTTTTCTTCAAAATTTTTTGTCTCCATCAAAATACTAAAAATATTAATTGTGATTTTTCTTATCTTTGTTTTAAACTAATTTAATTATAATTGATCAATTAACTTCTTTTGAAAAAAGTGTTACAAAATTTTATTAATCCACATAAAATAAGTACTTGTATATTGCATTAATAATCATACGCTACTTTTTCCATAAAAAAATCATACACTGCTTTTTTACTTTTTTTTTTCTTCAATTGAAATTACTATTGAATTTATAATAATTTAGAGGTTTAATTTTTAAGACATTGAGTTTGTTTATTTTGATTTTTGAAGTTAAATTTGATAATATATCATGGAATTACATCTTCTTCTGCGCGAGTTACATCTCAATGTACACGAGTTACATCTTAATATACGCGAGTTACATCTTCATGTATGCGAGTTACACACGGAATAAACTCTAGCTATATCATTTTTATTGCTCTAATCTTAAAAATAAAACATATTCACTATTTATAAAAAAGTAATTAAACTATTAAGATCAATTTTTCATTGTGTACATTGAAATCAATATTTATAATATCTCAAACACAAAAGAAAATCATTGTTCAATTTTCCAACAAGTTACATTCTGTGTACACCCAAGTTATATTTGCCATCAACGCGAGTTACATTTGTAATAACACGAGTTTCATTAAAAAATCAACCCCTGCTATTGAAACAAAAAAAATGGTCTTTTCTAAAAAAAATTATTTTTTATGATCATGATATTAAAAACAAAACATATTCGCGTTCTACCTAAAACAATTGTGCAATTAGATTCTCTTTTTTCATTGTGTACATTGAAATCAATATTTTACGAGTTACATTTTGGATGGTTGACGTGCACTTTGTCGTGTGTGCACTCAAAATAAATCGATACTAACACTTATACGTAGTATAGGTGAAGTAGAGTTCGTATCCACAGAGAAAGGAATAACTTTCTTTGTATGTAAATAGTAAATAAAGGGGGGTTTTGATTGTTGAGTGATTTAATTAAATTAAACACGAAGATGAACGAGTTATGTGGTTTAATTCAATGATAAAAGGGACTTGGTATTGCTACTTTACACTTGTTGATATATTTTAGTCGATCATTGTTATATCTATAACTTATCCCCTCTCGAATACTCAATCGAGGAGTATATCCAATTCATCGAGGATAGTTAGTAACAACGACCGTTCATTAATAACCCTTACTATTAGTCAAGTATAGAACAACGCCATATACCGACTTGATAGTAGCATTTAATCTTTTAACTCCTTGATGAAATCAATTGAGATTGATAACCTCAACACAACGGTTTCGGTTTAACCAACAAAATTAATCCCTCTTAAGTTCACTAACCACGACCGTGCATTAATAAACCGAAGTTACTTACTTGGGAAACTATCAACGATTAACCATCGGTTCGTTGATCGTTTCTAGTAATAATTAATATGTGAAACAAAACTAATTGATCCTTTAAGTAATGTTCAAAATATTAATATGAAATATGAATAGGAATTAATTAATACTCAAGGAAAAATATTAAAGAAGATGAATCCTACTATAGTTAATATCAAGATGTTAACTAATTGTCATCTTAGTAACACTCCCCGATATTAACATAGAGGAAGGAATAGCTATTACTAAGACCAATGTCAACATGTTAACTAATTGTCATCTTAGTAACACTCCCCAACATTGATATAGAAATAGTATTTAAAGGAAGAATTAATATTCAAGGAAAAGAAGTTAAGAAAATAACTCACAACTTTAATAATCAACAAGCTTCAAGAGCAATACCAAGAAATGGAAGTTTAGCTCCTCATTTGGAGACTAAACATGCCAAAAGAAATATAGAGAAATGCTATTCTAAACTGAGCTTAAGAGTATATAGGAATTGGTTTTTAAAAGTGAAGGAAAGGAGGTGTATTTATAGGCTTTTTTTGAGGTGCAGGTCGGGTACTCGATCGAGTATATACATATACTCGATCGAGTATGTGTAGAAACTCGAATTCGATCCATACTCGATCGATATTCGAGTAGAATTCATAGCTATACCCGATCGAGTATGTCGGTGTACCCGATCGGGTATAGACACTCGATCGTGGTAAAATCTTCCCTGCATGTTCCTTTGTTTTCGGATCCGATCCGATTTGAAATTTCAACAAGATACTCGATCGAGTATAGGTAATACTCGACCGAGTATAGACCAAAATCAGGATCTTCCCTTTTTGTCTTGTGATTTTGCACCTTCCTTCCACTTTTGGGGTTCACCAACTGTCCTTTGAGTGATGGTAGACCTGTTTGAGCTCAGAATAAACCTAATCTAAACAATTTACAAGAATTTAACAAACTAAACTATTACACCGAAAGTGTGTAATTTCCGAAATACTAAACAACCAAAACTAACTAAAAACGTACACGGAAATTACAGACGTATCAATGGTCTTGAATTACATTGATTAATAATGTGAGTTACATATCTTTACATGAGAGTTACACCATCCATGTTACTGGGACAAAAAACAATGTCACTGTACACGCGTGCACTGTTCATGCGTTTTTTCTTTTTCTTTTTTCCCTTTTAAATTGCCCAAAACGACATCGTTTTGGGAGTAGGAGCATGATGCTTATGGTGGGGCGGTCGTATGGTATACGAATTGCATTTTTTCCTTTAAAAATGCCATTACAATGGCATTCTCGATTCACGTTGGCCTTTAGATGAAAATTTTGGCAGTAGCGATGGTGGTGGCCAGATCTGTAGTGGTGGAGGTGGAATCCGTAAGAGCAACGCTTGGCGGCGGCAGCCAGTGGCGGCCGACGATGGCCAGATTTATCCAGATCTACTACTGCGAGGTCAAATCTGCAGTGGAAACGACATCCAGCGACTGGTAGTGATCCTGTCGGAAACTGGCGGCGGCTAACGGGCTGCTGCAGTGGGGTTTATCAGGCTTTAGGGTATTTCTGTCCAACTACAAATAATACTACCTCCGTCCCATTTTATGTGTTTCCTTTGTGTTTGGCACAATATTTATTAAAGTAGTTGAAAAAGTAAAAGTTAAGGTTAAGATTTTTGTATAATAAAGTAAAATACTATAGAAATGTTTTTTTACATTTGGTGTACTATGAAACTACTATGAAACTTCTTTGATGTACAATTCCAAGCATCTGTTTGGTTTGCATTTGGTAAAAGTGAATGTGGTAAATTTTGCAAAAGCTGAAGTGTTTGTCAGCAAAATAATTAAATGAAAAGCCTCTGTTAATTAGGCTTTATCAGAATAAACCCAGGAACTGTATATTAAACGGGCCTTCAAAATATGGACGTCCAAGACTTTAGATTTATCTAAGTAGATGATTAGTAGGTGGCCTTCCCTGAGTTTTGTTTTGATTCCCTACACTTTTGTTCAATTATGATTTCCAGGCCTTTTATGTTCTCTTTAGAGATGACCATGTGATGAAGCTTCCTTACTTCATTATAATAGCTGGAGTGGCATGTCTCCTCTTCGCTGTTGCTATACCTCATTTATCAGCACTTAGGATCTGGCTTGGGGTTTCAGCTTTTCTTAGTTTGGTCTACCTTCTTGCCACGTTTGTCCTGTCTATCAAAGATGGTATGGACCCCAATTTTCCTTGAAAACTTTTAAAACCATTAGTTGGAACTTGGATGCATGTATGTTTTTAGAATGCTCTCTACCTTTCTGTGTACTGGATTGCCATATTGTATGGATAAGTGAATACACAAGTTGTTTGTATTTTTATCTTTAATACTGTAGGAATATAATTACGTTAAAAAAATAATATTTATACCAAACATTATTCATGGAATTCCATATGTTTAGTTTGTCTTGATTTTTTTTAATTCTTGGATCTAATATTATAGTAATTCCTTCAGCATTTTTTCAAATTTGTGCAATCTTTTTTTTAATCTTATAGGTGTAAATGCTCCTCCTAGAGACTATAACATCCCGGGAACAACAATAGGCAAAATATTTACAACTATTGGTGCAGCTGGCAACGTAGTGTTTGCTTTTAATTCAGGAATGATTCCAGAGATACAAGTTAGCATTTACGCGCCTCTTTTATTTAGATTATATTAAGTGGAATATACAAAATCAGGGGAAATAAACAAAGCATGTTCTTTTGTGCAACATGCAAAGAATTTTGGAAACTTTTCCCTTCAGGAAAATGTTTTACCATCCGAATCCCACAGCAACTAAGTAAGGGCCATAAGGAATTTTCTCTTGCTTAGTACTTGAGGGCCGTTGAGGCTTTGTTTGGTCAATAGGACAAATGAATAAGTGGGAAAGGAAGCAGATAGAGTTTGAGAGATAAAAAGTGGAAGAACGAAATGTGTGAGGAAAAGAGCTGATTTTATGTAAAGTTTTATCCCCTATTACTTCACAGTTCACTGTATAGAAGAGCTATCAAAAGCCAAAAGGTAGGTGGACCCGTTTTATTTCTTTCTTTGTTCCTTATTTCTCCCCTAAACAAAATATCATTTTCCCCTCTCCTCAGTTCTTTTTATGTATTCTGCTTTTCTCTTCAAGCATTTTCAGTCAATAGTTTATCTTGAGTATCATCATCATTGTTATAGCTATTAATTTTATAAATATTATAATATTATAATTACTACAACTATTACTAACTTTTGCGGGGATGACAGGCTACTGTTAAAGAACCTGCGGTGAGGAACATGATGAAAGCACTTTACTTTCAGTTCACAGTAGGAGTGATGCCAATGCTTGCTGTTACATTCGTGGGGTATTGGGCTTATGGCTCCAGCTCATCGGCCTATTTGCTCAATAACGTCCATGGCCCAGTTTGGTTAAAGGCATTTGCTAACATATGTGCTTTCTTGCAAGCTATCATCTCTTTGCATGTAAGTGTGCCCATCTCTACTTGGTTATTTTGCAGTTTTTTTGCTCTATCCTTTTTAGATATATCTCTATCTTCTTACATACATGCTCGCATGGTAGAAGAGTTTGATGTTTATCAGCCAAATTTTATACCAACCACTAAATCAGGGCCTGTTTGTAAAGAGTTATTGAGTTGAAATGACTCAATTTGCTAAAGGAAATGTGTGCTGATATCCATTTTAACAAAATAAGCAAGTCAAAGACTACTGAGGATACCAAACGAATCACAATGGCATCTGAATCTGCTGTAATAGAAAGTAGTGTTGCAATGATTACTACTTGGGCTGGAAGAAAAAATGTCACTTTTATCCTTATTCTTAGATACTTCTTATGCTATTAATATTTGCTTTATTTTCTTTTTCGGGAAGTATTTTATTATTTGTTCCACTTCTCTAATGTGCCAAGTTTTATTGTACTAAACAAGTACACTCTTACCTTTTTATCTTCTCTTTCATAATTTTTCTATTAATTATACCTTTTCATCTTGTCTCCCCTACTATCCACAACTGTACAATGTAAACGGTGGAGGAGTATGATTTACTTTATTTATTGGGAAAACTGTCAAATAAGTCTTCTTACTATATCGAAAATGTCAATTCAGTCCTCGTACTATCAAGACACTCCATCAAACCCTTAACCTTTAAAAAAACTTCCAATCTGACTTTTAGCCGTTACTGACGTGGCCAATTCTGGGTGTTTATTTATCTTTTTCTTGAAATATTTCATGACATATCATCAATTCTGTGTGTTTATTTTTCTTTTTTTTTGAAATATTTCATGACATGTCATCAATACCACGAAGAACCAAAAAGTGAAATCAAATATGGGCACAACAATTCTTCTCCTGTGTTAAAAAACTCCGCCGCTTCTGATTTCTCCAATCCTCTTCACTCAATTTTTTTCACCATGTTTTCACGTTAGTACTGCTTCTAGGAGAAGAGCTCAAATCTAAAAGCAACCCACCCCTCTTCTCCAGATTATTTGTAAATTTCGTACAAATAATACATCTTTTCATTCCCACTCTTTTTCTTCCATCTATCCTTTGGGGAACACCAAAAGCAACCATTTGTCACTGGCGATAGCGAGACTCCTCTGAAGAAACATGGTTAAAACCATCAGAAAACGATTCCGGCCCGGATTCAATATCTGGATGTCGTGCGTCCTAATTTTACCCACCTCGTGATAGATGGAGGATTCAAGTGCGGTCTATGAGGGATCTGGATGTCGTGCGTCCTAATTTTACCCACCTCATGATAGATGGAGGATTCAAGTGCGGTCTATGAGGGCTGATGGATTTTATGTTCTTCAAAAGCGACAAAATTGGAGAAGCATATTGCTGCATTTGGTGGAGTTTCAGCATCTCTGGATGATTGTTAGCAGTTGGTGGAGTCTGAGCTTTAGAGAGACAGAGAGACGGGAGAGATGATGGGAGATCGGAAGGTGAGATGTTTAAGACGTGGGTTGCTGATATGTCTAAAACAAGAAAAAACAAAGTCACGTGGACAGCCATGTCAGCGAGTACCGCGACTAATCAGTAGTTGATTGGCTAAAAAGCTGGACCGGATGTTTTTTAATAGTTAGAGGGTTTGATTGAGTATTTTGATAGTACGAGAACTGAATTGACGTTTTCACCATACTAGAAGGGCTTATCATACAATTTTCCCCTATATATAGATATCCTAATTTGTTTTTGCATTATCAAGTCCATTCGACCAATTCAACAGAAACTTTACTCTGCACTAGATAATAGAAATAAATCATGCCTTTATTTTGGGTTGAAATGATTCGAATGAAGAAAAATGATACTTTTACCCTTATTTTCTTTTAGGCTTTCAAAAATATAATAAATTTAAAATAAATGATTTTTTATACGAACTGGTTCATTAAGCCAATTGGATCACAATTTCAGACACTTCAGCCATATTTTGCCAACAGGATCTCACACATGTTACATTGTTACCTCATCACTCCTTTACATGCATCCACTATAGATATTTGCGAGCCCGACATACGAATATTTGGACACAAAATATGGGATAAAAGGAAGCACGCTCATCCCGCGCAACCTGAGATTCAGAACTTTGGTCAGGGGTGGCTATTTAGTCCTCACCACATGCCTAGCATCTCTACTGCCTTTCATCGGGGACTTCATTAGCCTTAACGGGGCCACCAGTGTGTTTCCTCTCACATTCATTCTCACAAACCACATGTACATGGTTGCTAAAAGAAGCCGGCTGTCTTCCTTGGAGAAGAGCTGGCATTGGTTGAATGTTGTCTTCTTTGGTTGCTTATCTTTTGCTGCTTTTGTTGCTGCCCTAAGATTGATTATAGTCGACTCTAATACGTACCATGTTTTTGCTGATTTAATGGTTTATTTCTTTTAACATTTTCTTTTGGGGTTAGCTTCAATCCTGAAGACAATGTATGAATGTATTATAACCTATATAGACAGAAAAATATGGGTGACAAAAAACAGTTAGATGGTGATACTTTTTAGCAGAATTTGTGATACTTTTTTCAATGGACACTCTAAAAAGTATTACAAATATTGTTAAAAGTGTTTGGACGAAATGATTTCATAAGAGGGACCAGCTACTTAAGAGTGGGTTTGGTTAGAGATTTCGGAGGAATGATTAATTTAATTTATTATCATTATTCCACATCTACCCCTCTATCAGCTAAAATATCTGGCGTACTTCAGCCCCACATTTCTCCTCCGTTCCCTTCGCATTTCTTTCAGACCTAAGCAGAGCGGGAAGTGCCATCTCTGGAAGCTCAGAACCGCCGATACGACTATCATCCCTTCCAGGTAAGGTTGAGTGATTGTTCGGATCTAACCTGGTTTGGCCGTCCGTGATTTCGCCGCTGTTGGTTGCGTCAACCCTAGCTCCCTGGCTCCTGGACTTGACATTTGAGAAGGTGTGTGCGTGGAAGATGAAAAAAGGGAGTCGACATTTAAGTTTTTTTATTAGAGAGGGGTAGTTATGTACTTTACACAAAAACAACATCAAAAATCACTTTTTTATCAAACACTTCAACTTTTACATTTTAATCAAAATCACTTCTACTTCCAAACACTACCTACTTTTACTACAATCACTTTTACTACCATCTATTAAAAAAAGCCACTTTTAAAAAGCAGAAACATTTGCAAACATAGCCTAAGTGTTTTTTGTGTAATACAGAGTAAAAACTAAAAAGCACTTTTGCACAAAAGTCGAGAAAAGTTTTTTTTAAGTAGAAGTCACTTGAAAACACTTTTTTTTAGCTTTTCTAAGCTAAAAGCTGAAAAGTGCTTTTTTCCGGTGTTTGCAATCCAGCCTAAATTCATAAGGCACACGTAGCTTCTTTACTAGCCCTTCCACTTTAGTGTACTTGTAATTTGAGATAGACCCAAATATGACGGGAACATGATGAAAGTGTAAAAATGAGACCACGATTTTCCATGTCATCTGCTAGGAGTAAAAATGGAAATGGATGCTAAAAATGGCTTAATTTAAAATGGATCCTCATGACATTATATAGCCAAGAATGCCATTATTTAAAAAGGTATTTTGGTATGAAATTAGAAATGTGAACTTTGAACGTATCAATATAATCACAAGTACTTATTTTAGAAGTTGTGTTTGAATAAAACATAAAAGCTACTACGCATGTTATAAACCCGAACCGGACTGCACGGTCCGACCCGGAACCCCGTCAACCCGTCCAGAAATGCGGGCCGGTCAGTAACCAACCCTTAAAACACCCAGAACCCGGAAAAAACCCATTAACCCGCTAGAACCCGCTAGAACCCGCGTCGGACCCAGACCCGCAATTAACCGTATAACCCCAGAAAACTGGACTATGGATGAAATTTAAACCTCAACCCAAAATTCCTTCTGCGAGATTCAATACATAGTCTACTCCGCACAACAACGTACCGCAATCCATGCGACCACAACACCCAAGTTGTATATTAACGTACATGTAGGAATGTAGCTATCTTATACTCCCTCCATCCCCCTAACTTTGTCCCGTTTAACTCTGCCAAACTTGTCAGAAATTTACTTCTATTGGGGGAATAAAAAACATGATACTCCTATTTTGGAATTTCAAAACGTTTTTACTCCTATTTAGGTCAATTTCTGTTACCTTTTTCGTCCATCCCATTAAGTTTGTCTCATACCATATTATGAAACAATTGAGTGATTAGAATTCATTCTTACTTTAATCACACTTTATCAACTCAATATCAACCACACAATTCTACTTAGTCTTAAAAACCACATCACACTCCTTTGTTCCAAACTTAGGGGGACGAAGGTAGTACCAAATATTGTATTTACTCTTACCACTACATGCCTAGTAACTACGACAATTTTCATATTATTACAGTGTAATTTAAATAACATTCCACATATAATTGAAACATTCTCGTACAATATTACATTATGATTTTGTAATAAATAAATGTTCGTTCATATTTATTTTTAGCAAAATGTATATGATATATTCCGTATTTGAATATTTATTCTGGAACAAAATCCATTTAGAAAATTAAAGGATCAATATCAAATAACACTATTTTCAAAAAAGTATCAAATAATACTATAGACATAATTAGGATTAATGTCACGCCCCGAGCCTACCCGGACACGTCAACAATCCGCCGTACAGTACGAATGATCAACCACAGTCCAACACACCCATACTATACAAGGCGTCTGGAATATCATTCACACATAGTGCATCCATAAACAAACATAATGTAAAAATATTCATTAAAGCAGCGAAAACATTTGATACAAGTATTCATGCCACACTTTGGCAAACATGGGCATACAAGCCCCCAAATAATTATTCAAAAAATATAATATCCATGAGCATTAACATAATTGTTTTTAAAACAGAAATGGAGGAAGCACGAACCACGTCTTCTCTCCTTGATCTTCCCGAAGCAAGAGGGCGATAGTAGCAACCTTCAAGTTCTACCTGAAACTGTGAGGTAGCCTCCCCCGTGAAGGGGAGGTCAGTACTTGGAAGCATTTGACAAGTACAATGACAACTATACTAAGTATAATCAAAGTTTCAATTTCCAAGACCCTCAAACTAGGGTGTTATCATATCATAGTTAACTTTGTTCGTTTAGCGTCAATTCATCGTTATTTACCACGGTCTAGAGCCCAGCTCATAATCACCGTTACTTACTACGGTCTAGAGCCCAGCTCAATAATCACCGTCATCTACATCGGTCTAGAGCCCAGCTCAATAATCACCGATAACTACTACGGTCTAGAGCCCAGCTCAATAATCACCGTTATCTACATCGGTCTAGAGCCCAGCTCAATAATCACCGATAACTACTACGGTCTAGAGCCCAACTCAATAATCACCGTTATCTACATCGGTCTAGAGCCCAACTCAATAATCACCGATTCTTTACAATTCAATATATTAGGATCCATTCATCCATTATTCGACTACAATTCCAACTAATATTTAAATACTAGTTATTTACTCATTTCAATATAATTCTTCATTCATGTATAAATTGGCCTTAATATCAAAATATCACTTTTATACTTCCATGGCTTCTACTCATGAAATAAGAGCATACTTATCACAATTGGGATTCATGGTTGATACAACTATCATGCCATCATATTCACAACATCTAAACATACACAATTTATTCATAAATTTGTATATATTATGCAAACTATACTTATAATCAATAGTAATTTCATTTAGGCATTATTAATCACTAATAATCCATGCAAATCACACTTTGTATTCATTTAGGAAATCTCATGAAATTAACCCAAAGATTATAAGCAACATAGTCGGCCATCCTCACCTTAAGTGAGCTTAAGCGCGTTCTACGCTCCCCGATTGAACTTTGACCAACTCCGGCGAAACTCCGGCGAAGCTCAAAATACTCTAAATCAAGTTCCTAACAAGGTTTTAACCCTCATAAAACCTTAATCAATACACATAACCTCTAAAAGGTTATTTTCCGGTGAATCGGTCGTTTTGGCTTCTAAGTCTGTTTTTGGACATAGAACCACCTTCCAACCCATTATTCCACACTTAGATCATGTAGAACAATCCTAAAGATTCTTCATAGGATATATATCTCATATGCTAGAAGAAAAATAAAGGAAAAGTCATGATAAGGTCATTACCTTAATCCTTTTACACTTTTAGCACGTTAACTCCTTTCCTTGAGGTTCTTTCTTGTTGAGCTCTCTTCAGCAATGGAGAAGGGAGGTTGGAGAGTCTTCTTTTCTCTTGCTTGGGTTCTGGCCGCAGGGATGAGGGAGGAAAGGGAGTGGGTATTGCCTTGTCTCAATAGAATGGGTGGTGTGGGGAGAGGTCCACCTTATTTTCTTTTTGTTTGATTCCTTTCCACTCACATCACACACCCCTCCCATGTTCCTATATCTTTTCATCCAGCCAAAACATCACATTTGGGTGACCAAATTCGTGGGTTGGCCCCCACTCATGTGGGAGGTCAACCCTTTTTGTCCAGAAGTGTACAATTTGTCCCGAAAGTTGTATTTTTCGGACTGTTTTAAATATAATTTATTTGATCGGACCAAATAAAATATATTATATGTTCTTAGTCATTATGACATCTAGAGTGAATATACATTCCCCAACTTTAATTTATAGGTCTCCGAAATTCAATTTCGGGCTTTTATCGGTTAGATTACCAATACCGATATTTGGGCTTCTTTTGACCAATCGGTCAACTCTGGACCTTTCCATGGTTCAAATGAAGTATCCACCACTATATAAATATTATCTTGACCAAGATAAATAAAATATATGGTTTCGGGAATTTCGGGCGGCCCCCCGCTCCCAGTGTGGGACCCGCGTGCGAATTTACTATACACACAAAAAATTAATAAAAAAAATTCACAACTTCATAACCTCATTAACCATTCCATAAGGTTCAATACATTATTCACTTAAAAGTAAATATATTTGGGGACGGTGTTACAAGTTCACCCCCCCTTATTTGAGATTTCGTCCCCGAAATCCACGTGTCTAATCGAAAAGAAACGGGTATTGCTCCCTCATTGAGACCTCAGTCTCCCAGGTTTCTTCTTCGACTCGATCACTCCTCCAAAGGACCTTTACCATGGGAATCTCCTTGTTCCTCAGTTTCTTCACCTGTTGACCCACAATCTTTACCGGTTCCACCGCGTATTATAGATCTTCACGTATCTCCACCGGTGGCTTCTCAAGAATATGAGATGGATCTCTCACGTATTTCTTGAGCATCGATACATGAAACACGTCGTGTATCTTCTCAAGTTCTGGCGTCAATTTGAGACGGTATGCTACGACCCCTATCCTTTCAAGGATTTCAAATGGACCAATGTATCTGGGGTTAAGCTTTCCCCTCAATACCACCTTTTAACAACCCGCCAATTTATTCCGCTAGTTAAACCCGCTGACTGAATCTGCTATTGAAACCCCACTAACATAACCCGCTATCCGCTAACCGCTAATTGTTGAATGTCAAACGCGCCCTAAATCTTTTCTAACTCTTTAGTTGGAAATGTACAAGCTTAAGAGTAAAAGAGGTGTTGCGGGTGCATGCATGGTTTCCGCAACTCTATGGGGTGTGATGATGAGGTTTAGGGCTATGTTGCACGGATACAAATACGGCGATACGTGAATACGGGTACGGCGATACGGTAATTTAAAAAATTATAGGATATGGGTACAGGGGTATATTTATAAATAATAAAAATATAAGCTATAAATTGCAAATATATATATTTCGGAGGTTCATAAATAAAAGGCTAAAGGGTCAAATAGGCCCTCGATCTATCTTAAAAAGTGCAAATCATCCCTTATATAGGAGGCTCTGTCCGTCCGTCGCCATTTGGGGCGGTTCCTAGTGGAATTTTTTGATTAAATTTTTTGAGCATATTCTTCATTAAGTCTTGTGTGCTCATACCAAATTTCAGCTAAAAATTCAACCGGGAAAACAATCAAATGAAATTTTGAAGATAACTGCGCAGTTAAACAACGCAGTACATTTCAGAAAATCATTTGATTGTCTTCTCGGTTGAATTTTTTTTCTGAAATTTGGTATGAATAAACTGACTTAATGAAGAATATGCTCAAAACATTTCATCAAAATATTCCACCGAGAACCGCCCCAAATGGCGACAGCCGGACAGAGCCTCCTATATAAGGGGTGCTTTGCACTTTTTAATTAGTTCGAGGGCTATTTGACCCTTTAGGCTAAATAAAATAATAATAGTACAAAAAATTAACTGGTATAACAAAATTTCAAAGATTAGGTTAAAAAACCTTTAGTACTAATATTTCAATTTAAATTCAAAGAATGTTTTTGTTCTCTATTTGCATTTACATCTAAGTCTTGTTTCAATTAAAGCTCATCAAGAGATAAATGACAAATTATAGTATTCCATTACTTTTCATACTCCCGAAATCATCTTTATCAATGTTTCACATCTTGTGTTCTCTTGGGCGACTACTAAATTTTCGTCATGTCGTGTATGAAATGAGGGTTACATGGTTAGATACGTGTATTGGATCACGAATACGGGTATCCGAAGTATCAGTATTTTTAAAAATTAGCCCGATACTTTTATTAAATTACGGATACAGACCCAATACGTATAGGACGTGTGTTCGCTGAGCATCAGTATTAGATACGTATCGGATACACAGAAATAGCATCAAGGTGAAGTATCAATGCACCATAGGTTTAGGGTGGCGGTTTAGTGTTGGGATGAAATGGCAGAGTGGAGACAGAGATCATAGGAAAAATTGAGAGTAAATAGTCCTTACTCTTGTTTGGGAAAACAACACTCCAATTTTAAACTTTCAAATTCTATTTAGGGGAACTTCTTATATGTTCATTATGATGTGTACAATACCACAATAAGCCTCCAGTTTGATCTAGTAAGATTAACCATTCGTTAAAGAACTCAAATTACAAATAGATATAACATGAGTATTCAATTACAAATCCGTATTATAAACTGATTCGGTGTTCAATTTGTCTTTGATTCCTTACTTGTAGGCCCCAACTTCTTGACCATTATATTATACCAGGCTAGCCTCAACAAAAATTTGATAAAGATGGCAAGAAAAGAACCGAAGATGACAAGAAGAATATATAAATAAGTTTATTAGTTTCATTACAAAGTAAATTGAATTACAATACCGTGCCTCCCACACATTTTCATAATCATGCATTATTGTAACGATTAGCTGAATAACTGTAGTAGTAAGAAGGCGCTTGGTAGTAAGAAGGTGCTTGACAAGAAGTGTACGGATCATAAGTGATTGTTCCGTATTGGGGTGTTGAGGCATCATTCTTTTTATATTCTTTCTTCTTTTCTTCAACCACGGGGGCCATTGTCTCTATATTAGCTTGACCAAGTTTCCTTCTCAACTCGACGGCCAACACCACGACATCAAACTCGCCGACCACCTCTATCCGCCCCTTCTCTCGGTCCACAGACGTGGAAACAACTCCTGGAGAGGAAAATATTTAGAAAACATGAGTTGATGAGTATTATATGATACACACAAGTTAGTGCAGTACTTTGTGTACTGAATCAATTAGCATGAGTACAAAACCGCCCATCCCATATATATAGATAGAGAGCTAATTTTGTACGTACCGGAGTGGTGAACGACAATCTTATGGGCTTTGACTTTTGCCTTTTCATCCCTCATAGTGATGCTAAATACTACCTTTTGCTGCCAATCATATAAACCCAAATAAGTTTAATTATAAGATCAAGCTAAGGCTGGGTCATCCCAAAAACACTCATCAATTCAAACGGAAATTCCAGATTTCTGAAATCCAAGTGTACAAACATAGTTTTCAAATGCAAGAAGAGATAATATTTATTCATACCTTCCCCATTTGTGGATGGTTTTAAATTTGGAGGGCAATTGGTGAAGAGAAACTGAATAGCTTAGCTTTGAAGATGAATGAGTGTGTAGGAGCAGTAGGAACAGAGACTGGCCTGAAACTGCGTTTGGGTTGGCATATATATAGAGAGAACTGAGAGATGGATAGTTGGTTAGGTAATTGGGTGTTTCTCTTTCTCTGGACTTGCGAAGAAATTAAGTCAACCGAGTTTTGAAACGTGTCCACTGTACGGAGTATCAACCAATTATTCTATGGAGTTGAGCCAAGTCCTTTTCTTCTTTATAAGTCAGCTCAACCCTCAGGGAAAAATTCACCATAACCGGCCATCATCAAAATTAATTGCAACACACTATTTCAAGCCTGTTTGAAGGGAGTAACTATTTTTCTATTTATTTTATAATTTTCTATCAAACACGTAACTTTTAATTTCTCGTGTTGAATTGTGTGATAATCAAAATAAGTATGATTGGAATTACTATTCTACTTGAATTGAAGGAAGTTATTATACAAGATCTTTTTAATTTTATTACATACATTTTTTCTCAATTTTATCAATAAAATAAATATTACATTCGTTTTCAAATTCAGCAGATTCAGTCAATTTCAAGGCTCATTTTCATGACACTGAAACTGGCTGAATTGGCTGAATTTGCTGAATTCGATGATGTTCTAGCTAAATTGGATGAGTCGACAGAATTAATGGAAAAATATATTTTAAAGAAAATCAAGAAAAAACATATAGAAAAATAGTTAAAGTAATACGCTAGGGTAACTCCAACCTTAATTATTTTAATCACTATACAATTCAGTGTCTTGAATAAAAAAATTACGAGTTAAGTGGAAAAAATTGACTGAATCGTCTTATTATGATGAAATTGATTAAGTTCTGGTTGAAGTGACTAAATTTTCTGGGTTATGAAAAAGTTACTATGTATTTCAAAAATACTCCCTCCGTCCCATTGGACTTTGCCAACTTTTCTTGTTTGGTTGTCCCAAAAAATATTTTGTCACTTTCCTATTAAAGTAACTAATTTGTGGTTTTGCACATTCTCTCTTTTCTGCACAAATCTCAACCAGACAGATTTTACTATTCTTATTTCTCACCTACTTTGCACTTGGCTACGTCCTCCGGGACGGAGGTAGTATATTTTATTAATAAAAAAGAAAAAAGATAAATAGTTAAAATGATCTACTAAAGTAACTTCAGCCAATTCTGCTAGTAAATTAAATTTAGAGGCCGTTTGGCAACACATTTTTTGGCTTGTCTGTTTTATGGCTTATCAGGCTTATCAGCCAACTCTTTCACCAAACACGTAACTTTTGCTTTTGCGCGCTGAATTGTGTAATAAGCAGAAAAAGTAAGGTTGAAGTTACTTTTCTGGATGTATTGATTGAAATTACTGTAAATGACTATTTTAGCTATTTTTACATATAATTTTTTCTTTATTTTATTAATAAAATATATTTTAAAAATAATGTTTTCTTAAATCAGCAGAATCAGCTAATGCAGTCACTTCAGCCAGAACTTCATAAATTTCATCATAATAAACCAAATCAGTTGATTTTCTTGCTACCAAACGGGCTCTTAATCTTACTGATTGTGATTAATATAAATTTCATGTCACAAAATCAAAAGTTAAGTGAAATAAAAAAGTTAGTCAATAAACCTAGTTTGTGGAATTTTCAAAGTTCATCATTTTCTTGGGTGCTCGTTTCTGGATGCACAACTAGGTAATGACCCTCCATATATTTGGCATAGTAGTTGGGAGACTCAACCAGTTATCCCAAAAAATGTTCGCAGAATAGTCACAATTGGGAGACTCAAAGTGTGGGGTGATGCATGGTTGCCGAGATCGGGAATGGGGAGAATACAACTAGCCCGACCACCTGGAATCCCTAATAATATGAATGTCACAGCATTAAGGGATGATGATGAGAAGCACTGGAAGAAATCTAGAATTGAGGCGCTTTTGTCACAAATAATTTTGGATGAAGTTGAGAGAAGAATCGGCTCTTTGATGTGTGTTTTCTCGCACTTAAAGTACGTGTGACAGTATAGAGTGCAAGCACAAATATCGTCTCCACAATGATAGAAAAGAGGAATTGATTATTAGTTAAATTCAGTGACTAAAATAAATAAATTCAATGCGAGTCTACAAGATGGATTATTGAAATTAAATTGTTACGAAAATAAAGCTAGAATTAAGTGACTCGTTCGAATTAGTGATAGAAAGGGATCCGGCATTGATTTTGGGGCAATCAGATTTTGGGGTTGATCGAACTTAATTACATAAAAATTATTTAATTGAGCAACAATAATCAATACTAAATTCTTACTGCTTGTGGCGTAGAGTACAATGATTTAGAGAGGTAGGCAAATCTCTAATACGACAAGCTTCTAACTGTGTTAATCTCTTATCAAGTGAAAGTATCCTAGAACAATTTAGATCTCTTTTAAATTAGGCTAAATGGTCATATAGGCTCCTGAACTGACTTAAAGTGTTCAATTAGCCCCTTATATAGGAGGTTCTGCTCGGCCGTCGCCAATTCCGGCGGTTCCCAGTGGAATTTTTTGATGAAATTTTATGAGCATCTTCTTAATTAAGTCTAGTTTACTCATACCAAATTTCAGCTAAAAATTCAACCGGGAAGGTAGTCAAATGATGTTTTGAAGATAAATGCGAAGTTAAACAGCACAGTACATTTCGAAAAATCATTTGACTGCCTTCCCGGTTGAATTTTTAGTTGAAATTTGGTATGGGTAAACTAGACTTAATGTAGAAGATGTTCAAAAAATTTCATCAAAAAATTTCACCGGAAACCGCCCCAATTAGCGACGACCGGGCAGAACCTCCTATATAAGGGGCTAATTGAACACTTTAAGCAGTTCAAGGGCCTATTTGACCTTTTAGCCTTTAAATTATTATAATAATGTGTGCAATTATAATCCTAGCGGACGTTCCAGGTTATAAAAATAACAATTAAATTGTTCACACACAAATTAAATAATGATCATGCAATTAATCCATGAAGAACGAACCCTATATCATGAATTACGTCCTTTTATCTCTAATTAAACTTGTTCACAATTCATAATGATATTAGCATCAGAATTAAGAAAGTAATAATGAATTGTTATTAACTGAAAGAGAGAAAGAACTCACAAAAAATCCTTGAATTTAGAAGTTCAAATGATGAAAAAACAATGAAAATCTTGTCCCAGATTTGTCTCTAATTATTTATTGACTAGCAAGTCTAGTATACTTAGTTAAGTTGTTTAACTTGTGTTATTTTTAGAAATGTGAACCTGTGATTGTCATTTTCTTAGCATCGTTAACAAATTGGGATATGTTTTACTACTTCAATACTTAATTGAAAAATAGTGAATACTAACTAAAGAGATAATATTAATTGTTTAACATTTATACGGAGTATAATTTATTATCAAGATTTTAGAAATTATAATAATGTGAAATTATAATAGCGTACTACTATGTACTAAAAATGCTCATGTAAGGAAATCTTAATTATTCAAGAAGGTGCTAATACTTATTGTCGTACACCAAAAAATTGCCAAACAAATTAGCGTGGATTCTTTTATTTATGATTTTCGTGACATGCAAGAACGATGTAACGTTCTAAATTTTATCTCACACAACGTTTAATCATGTATTTTGAATATTTTAGATGAATACTGATACATCATTTAATGTTTATTTTATTTATATTTTAAATGCTGTTCTTTTTATTTCACTTCCCCCCTCTGGTCGACCGGTCATATCCTATCTTCGCTCCTGCATATAGATTAATGGATCATCACCCTTTATTCGATCATTTCTTTCCTTCATACCATCATTCTTTGTTCGACCACTTCTTTTTCTTTCATCATTCACTAGTAGAACACCCGTGCGATGCACAATTGATGAAATTTCACAAATAATATAATCTTACTCAAATTTAAAAAAATATTGTTATTTTAATTGAATCATTTGTCAATTTGTTTCTTTCTATTTTGAAGTGTTTATACGAAGTATATCATCAACACCAATACCCGAGTAACACAAAGGCTCACACCTATGGTGAGGTAAAGGAGATCAAATGTACGCAGAGTAGCTCTTGTACTAAAACACAAAGAAACTATTTTCGGATGACTAATGATGAAAATTTCATCAAACAATGTATGGACAAATTGATTGTTTCATAACAACGCAACGCAGACAGCTTACCGAGTCATTTTGCTTTATTCCATCATAATTCCAAAAACAATAGTGACTTTTTGGCTTCATTGCTTTATATATAAATATTAATTAATTAGAGGTAAATTATTTATAATGAGTACATAATAGGGTGACTATAAATTTATGCGAAATGCACTTTTAGATGAATTGCCCATGTAAGCTGACAAAATAGGGGTGCGCAAATATGTGAAAGTGTGTTATATCACTTCTAAACTATATTTGTGACAAAATGTTGAAAGTGAGCAAATTGAATCCCTATGTAAAAAAAGTAATGGAATCAATTTAGCTCGTTTATTTTCAATATAGATTCAATCTAGCCATAGTAGTTCTTAAAAAAAGTTAAGAAAATTGAATGTTTTATATATATAAATTCACATAAATATTTAAAATAAATATAAATAAATAAAAAATACTAAAAAATTCAAATTGGATAAATACTAAAAAACTATTTACTTAAATAAAATACATGAATATGTACATAGTATATTAATACAATGTAGAATTCTAAAAAAGTAGAATATAAAAATAAATAGAAAAATGCCAATGAAATATACGGGGTGAATTTTACATTCCTACTTTTTTTTCTTCCTTTTCTTTTTACAATTTTCATATTGACTCTTGGGAAAAAAAACATATTCACAAACTATATTCACAAAATAAAGCATTTCTTAAATTAATATAATTTGCAAACCAATATATATAAAAGAAGAATACACCACTCTCTAAATATCTATTTAATTTCTAGCAGACCATTTTGTTAAAAAATCTTTGCACACCAATATATATAAATGAAGAATACACCACTCTCTAAATATCTATTTAATTTATAGCAGATCATTTTATTAAAAAATCTACTTTATCCAAAATTACATGATATTATCTATGTCACCCATTTAATTTACTACCCGAAGCTACT